CTAGCAAGGAGATCGGGCTGAAACTATAGCTACAAGCTATCCAAGGATGGTACTATAGAATGTCACCTCAAGGTAGGCCTAGTGGCGTCATCTCTTGGTTAGGCCGGAAACTTATCAATCCACCCTCGTATAATATAGAACACCTGCATTCTTTACCATCAGAAATTACAAAGCTTCATGCTTAAAATAGAGGAAGGACGGCAGCCTTATAAAATATATGACTACATATCTTGTCCCGTACTTTTCAAACAAAATCACCAAAATCTGACAAACGAATTTTGATTAATATAGAAGTTACAGCACCTGCTTCTTCCACCATCAGATTTACAAAGATTTATGTTCAGAAGAGAGGGTAGACGGCACCCTTACAAAAAATCTGGCTTTATACATTTTGTCCCCGTATTCTTTAAATAAAACTATCAAAATCTATAAATGAATTTTGAATAATATATAAGTTATAACACCTGCGTTTTGACCATCAGAAATTGCAAAGTTTTAAGTTCAAAAAGGATGGTAGACAGCACCCTTACAAAAAATCCGTCTACATATTTTGTCCTAGTACTCTTCAAACAAAATTATCAAAATCTGACGAATAAATTTTGAATAATATTATATAAGTTATCGCACCTGCATTTTGACCATCAGAAATTGCAAAGTTTTACGTTCAAAAACGAGTGTGGGCAGTACCCTTACAAAAACTCTGGTTCTACATATTTTGTCTTCATACTCTTAAAACAAAACTATCAAAATCTGACAAATGAATTTTGAATAATATATAAGTTATCGCTCCTGCATTTTGACCATCAGAAAATGCAAAGCAACTGTTTCCAGAATCTTATAAACGAATTTTGAAAAGTATATTAATTATAACACCTGCTATATTAACTATCGGATATTTCAATGTTTTAGGCTCAAAAGAAATGGTAAAGATAATTATTATAGCAAATCTGACTTTACACAGTTTGTCCTCGTTTTTTACAAACAAAATTACCAAAATCTGACAAGCGAAATATGAATAATACACAAGTTATGACAACCGGATTTTTAACTATCAGAAATTGCAATGTTTTATATTTAAAAAAGAAGGTGGACAACATCCTTACAAAAAATCTGGCTCTAGACATACATACTTTTCAAAGAAAATTAGTTATTATTATATATATATTATTTATTATATATATTACAAAGTTTTATGTTCAAAGGTAGGCTGGACAGCACCCTTACAAAACATCTGGTTTCACTCATTTTGTCCCCGTAATAATTTTGAATATAAATTTAATTTTTTCTTAAGTTTTAAATACTATACACTTATTAGTAACCATTTGAAATACAGCAATTTTGCACTCAAACAAGGCAGATTTTTCTCAGTTATTCCAAAATGATTTTTATGAAAAAAGGTATTTCCTTTCTCCTTCATTTTCTACTTTATCCATGCAGTAACAACCACGAAGCACAGCTACTTGTAACAGTGTTGATCCAACAAGGAATGATTTAGACTGTTAGACTGTTTTCCACTTAAATAAACGTCTTCATAAATACCTAGACAAAAAAATCATTATACAAAAGTGTACTGTATCATGCACACACATCATATAAATCAAACAAAAAAATGGACAATATCAACAACATTTAAATAACGTAAATGAGCCAAAATATGAACGTTAAGACAATGATAAATATTAAAAAAAATAGAAATATTATAAGTGAAACAATTTATTTATATTATACTTAATTTCCTTATTTCTACCTGATGCTTATAAGTGAAATAATTTATTCATATCTCGATTCAGGTAAAAATCATTCTTTATTTTCAAGTTGCTTTTTCCAGTAGTCAGAAACCGTTTAATTCCTACACGGAAATTGTTCTTTATCCACAAAACCTTTTAACCCCCTAATTCGCTCCTATGAACGTTTAGTTTTATGTCATATCGCCACCTTTGATTTTAAATAGAAAAGTAGCATTCCCATTTCACCCTTTAAGAATCTCCAAAATACGTGTTTGTTTAATTGTAACAGTGAGCATAAAGAGCAACCTTCAAGTAACCCCAATCACATATAAAAAAGGCACATACAAACGCTGCAACCCCTTTTCAGCTTTAAAAAATAATATAATTTTTGCAATTTCGATGTAAAATTACAACTAGTAGGTTGATTGTAAGCCTCCACGTGTAGCAACAATTTAATTAGGTAAACCCTTACCTGAAGGCCGAAATGTAAGGTCATTGAAATCGAGCTCTAAATTTAAAGAGAATGAACAGATTCTCATGAAAAGATCGAGTTTTCCTCAATTTTCTGTTGTTCTCAGAAAAATACAAGTGAACTGTTCGCAATTTGGATGATAAAGGGTTGGGAGTTTCACCTTGAAAAGTGATTGATTGTACACAAACGTAACTCAAACCACAGTTCTTTTAAATAAGTTTAAAAAATCGAAGATTATAAGACAATGGTTGTTGTGCTTCAAAGGAAAAGAAATGCTTTTAAAAACTGTAATCACTATAATTTTGTTGTTTTAAAAAAATATCAATTTAAAAAACATTTAATAAAATCAAATAAACGTACAAGTAAATTAAATCCATAATTTTCTATCTAAGGGCTGTTGCAAAGAAATAAACCGTACCAATGGAAAATAACAAACCGAAACAAAGAGCAGTAATTTAATAAAAAAGAATCCCAGAATCTCAAACATCTCCCAGCTCCCTCGGTTAATTTTTAAAAGTTAATTATTAGTTTTCTGTATCAAACGAGTTCTAAAATTTTTTAAATCAATACCAAATAAAAAAGAAAAAAATTATAATTGTGAGATACAATTTTTCAATTTCGTTAACCTTCGAAACCTGTAATTTTCCTTGATATCATAAAGTAAAACGTCATCAGCACTTATTTAATAATAATCAAAGGACACCTACCTATAA